TATGTTTATAGGTATTTTAAGTCTTTTATTTATTAATTTCCAAAGATTTTTGATTAAGTAGAAAGTGCTGATATGGGGCGATAGTTATTGATACAGTCTCTATACAACACAAACATTCTCATTTTGATTCTACATGGTACCACCACAATTTTTTGTTCTGAATTTTGAGGACCACCATCATAATTTCTTAGTTCGGCATGTAGTCTGACTAATATATTATGATTTAAGAATAGAAATTCCGTGACCTTTAACCTGGTAAGCTGTTGGGGTGGAATTATAATTGGAACTAGAACGTTGTTCAGTTCCGAACACTGTAACGCAGCGACACTGTAACCCAGTATCATATTAAGAATCACAATAAGAATAATATACTATATACAACTATAGAAAGTAATTTTTATTCGTTTATAGCTAGCTCAATAGTATTTAGCATAAGCACTATTATATTTTATTAACTTGTGGCTTTAAATTACACATGATTGGATGGGTGTCACGTGTGAAACGCAGCCTCCCAGCCTGACAGCTCAACAAGCCAAGCAAACCCATCCGCTCACACTAGTTCGTGACCTGAGTACTAGCCGACAGCAACCGCCCTTAGAATACCGGCCACCTCCAAAGCAAGACTCGATGGGACTCTACCAGCTGAAACCTCTTCCTGCGAGACGTTCAGTTCTGAAAATTGCCACACATTGTAACACTGTGACCGCGTTACCGAAAATCATATACACTAAGAGTTCGCTTAATAATCTCAGCGATGACGCAAATAGTAATATTAATGCAAACGTATAAATTATAATGGTTAGTTAATAAAATCCTCTTTCAACGCTTGACGACATCTTCTGTATTACTGCCGACACTCCTGGTAAGACCTAACCCTGACATCCTGTCTCATAGTGCAAACATTCAGTACTTATATAATTTATGTACATTTATTTATATGGTAGGGCTAGGGTGTTAGGGACTGCTAGGTATAGGGAACCTAGTTAGGGTCCGTAGAGTTCAATATTCCTTCATACTACCATATTCATGTGCAGTCAGGTAGTCGAGCTATTGAAGGGTAAATAAGTTAAGATTTAAACATAAAGATACTTATACAAATGTTTTTGATCCCGCATCGAGAGTCCATGATGGAAAATAGGTACAAAACTGTCTCTATTAATGGAATTGTCAGACTCTTCCGAATAAACCCCGTGCATCAATTTGTACTGGTTGATGATAATGTGCTCCCATATCGAGCTCAACGGGTCAATACTGTTCTTCGAGAATACGAAATCACAAGGTTAGACTGACCTGCCGGCTCGCCTGACTTAAACCCAATAGCACGCGTGGGATGCTCTTAAGCGAGCTGTTTGGAACCATCAGCCATCAACGGGGACTCTTTGTACTGGAAACGATGCATTCCATAATAGTATTCAGTGGTGACAACGTATCTGCATTTTGATTATTAATCGAAGATAAATCTAGATGTTTACGTTCCACAGCATCACCTTATCAGGTGGGCTGTATGCTCGTTTGTCACCCAAATCTTTATAAAAAATCTCTCCCCTGAAAGGTGCCAAAGATGAGGGAAGTCACTATTTAAGAATGGGACAGGTTACTACAAGAAATGCTAGATAACTTGATCCTCAGCACGCCCAGGAGGATCTCCACTTATATTCAAGCCAGGGGAGAAGTTATATTTAATTAAATAAAAACCTTCTATTATAAATTGTTGTATAATTTTGGTTAAGCAATATTTTTCCCTCCATCAAATTTCCGTTACAATTACATTAGGATTAAATTACTTAATTTTTGTTATTATAAAATAAAATAAAGTTATATTTTTTAATTTCAAACAGTGTATTTCCGTTTGAAAAAGATATAACGTAAACACTTTTTCTTGATAAAGTTAAATTTTAATAATATATCAGCTTTTGTTAGTGATCACAAAGTGTTTGATGTGATTTCTATGGGCTACAGTATCCAATTACCATCAGGTGACAAACGAGCACATAGGCTTTTATGTCATTCTTATTGTATATAAAAAATATAAGAAGATACCTGTACCCGGCATTAGGAGGTTTAAAGGTTTTTATGTTACTTTTTGATTGAAGGTTCACCTTATCTTATTTTTCTGTTCTCGTAATAGATGGATATTTGCATAGCATCATCTCTCGGAAACGATCCTTAGCTATCATTCTTTTTTAATTAAGATGGTATTACGTTAATATTTGTAAGACAACATATCGACTTTTTGTATAATGTATTTTAAGCGTAAGTAAATTAATAAAGAACATTATTTTACACCATATAATTACAATTTGTGAGAGTAGTTTGAAATGATTCAACGCCGCCATTGAACAAATGCGTACTTATATTTTTATCATAACACAAGTTATCATTTTTTTAAAGTAAGTTTTTGTTTTACAATACAATACAATACTCTTTATTGTACACTAAGAAAACAAATAACATAAACAACAAGCAGAGCGAAAAACAAAAGGCGGTCTTAAAGTAATTTTTAATAATGCTGTAGTCGTACTGTGACCCGACCTAAATCCGAATTGGAGTGAATTAAGGATGTCACTTCTTGTGCAAAAGGAATTTAACTGTTGTTGGACAAGACGTTCTAAGACTTTGGACAGAAAAGAAAGAATTGAAATAGTAAGATACTCTGAATAACTCGAAGGATTAATTTTTTGGTCAATGGTATGATTTGGGCATCTTTTTAATGAAATTATACATTTTAATTAAACTTAGCCAAAATGTTTCCCGAAGATACGTTTTATAACAAACAATTAGACAGACAATTCTAAAAAAGATAGAAATGCATTTAATTATTTATTTTTAGTCTCTCTAGATCATTTTTGTCCCAAAATATACTAAGTACAGACACCTGCAATTTGTATTTTATTGTACGTATAGAAGATATGCATAAGTAAGTTTTCGTCTTCCTTGATGATATATAGAAGAGAATAAATAAGAGTACTGGGTTTGTCTCTTTCACTGCCTTAATAAAGGTTCTTTACAACTATTCTCAGGTTTTAACAAATCTGTTTCGATAAAGAGGTCCCGTGAAAAACACGCGAGCCTGCGAAACAAAATATATAGAATTTGCCCGCAAATGTCAAATTTTGCCAAGTGAAAATGTGTCCACCTGTAAGCGGTAAATAACAGTTCAAAAACTCTCCACAACAGCGCTCGAGTAGCTACGGGGTATGATAAATCGCCGTAAAATACGTTGAAGTGGTTTTGAAAATAAAAAATTTGAAAGAAATAAAATAATTATTGTAAAAAGAATTAAAGTGAAAATCTCTGCAATAAAAAGTTATAAAAAGTTCTTAAAAATTTAGATTGTAGCTACAGTGGCGCCACCCTTATTTAGCGCTTTCCTGCGGACATTTTTTTGTACAAAGTCTGTATTCCTTATGTCTAAACTCCATATTTAAAACTTCATTTCATAACTTATTGTTATTACAATAGAGTAATTAAATACATTCGTATGAACAGGGAGAACCATGGAGGTTAGAGAACAGGAGAACGATCGCTGTAGAAAATAGTGTCCCAGAAATGTGGAAAAATTAAGTGAGGCGCTGCGAACGCTAAGTTGTCTCAATAAAAGCGGACTGTTTTTATTAATAAATTATAAATTATATTTTTTATAATTTCATTTATTATAAATATTATAAATTATACAAATATAAATTATTGATTATTAGTGATTTTTTTTAAATATTGTTTCACAATTTTTTAATGTTTCTTATTGTCAATAATTAAAAAATTACTTCGAAGATACTATTTACCGACGGCAGTGCGGCTATGGATTCTACAAATTTTCAGGGAGAGGCGGGCTATGTTTTAGCACGTAGCGATCGTTCTCCTGTTCTCTAACCTCCATAGAGAGAACCTACAATTCTAGATAAATTAAGTCCATAGACTTGAACTTGTCAATGTTCAAAACAAGGCTTCAGATATTGTGAGCATCAGTAAAGCATTGAGATAGCTAGCAATTTTTATATTTTTCATACCTAATTTTATTTTTATATTTTACTGTTGTAGTACACAAAGACTACAGTAAAGGATGTCACGGTAGAAATACTTGAGGAGGTCTAAAGTACACGAGAGGTAAATTCTAAACATGTGCCAAAGTGGGAATCGAACCCATAACTTGATTTGTAATCCTGGATTGTAAAGTTTAGGGATAAAAATATTAGTTGAATAAAAAATGGTCTATTTAAACTTGCATTTTATTTGATGAAACATTTTATATCAAAGTATATTGTAAGTAAGACCAAGTTAATGAAAACAAGCTTCTTTTAACGGTTTCCATTGCTGCTGGTTGTACCTAGTGGCTCAGCACCAAAACCACTCTATACACCATCTAAGAAACCTGAAAGAAAAAATAAAACTGAGAAAAAGGTAAATATTATAATGACCTCTACTCTAAAAGGGATTATGTTAATTTATGAAATTGTTGGTTTGATTTTTTTAAATACTCAAACATAACTATTTGTATTTCTGACCTCAGATTATGCAGAAAGTATAGCCAATACTGAAATCGAGTGCAGGAAAGAGGTCCTTCAGTTTTTGCATTATATCCAGCTGGGACAAACTAACACTTGTCCCAGCAAATGCCATCCTGATGGTGCGCACAATTCTTGGCCTGTTGATGCCTGACCTGAAGCATATCAGTCTGCCGATGAGGGCCCTAGCCTTTGCGATAGGTTCTTCAATTCTTATTCTCCAGGCTGGGATAGCGCTACTTTGTCCAGTAGTTCGTCAAGCCGTGGAAAGTTTGGCGCCTATAATTTGGCATAATGCCAGTGCTGCGCCAAAAAGAATTGAGTTCGTCTCGCAAAGGTCCCGGTTGGCTTCCAAATAGGTCACCAGCATTGGGTTTAGAGCCCTCACGACAGCCCAATTCCGCTTGCTTAGGGCTATGCGGGGAAGTCGCGGTCGATTTTCGAGAGGCGTACTACGAGTTTCCACAATCGCCTCTTCCAATGTACTCTTCATATGCTCTAATTCCAGTTCCTGGGCGAATCATCGTTTGAATTAACCACAACTGGGGTATTCACGGTGGCATCCACGTTTGCGGGTTGCTCTGCAATTTGTGGCGCCGCATCCTCAGCAGTAGCATTTTCATCCAATGACGGAACAGCCTCACGTCGTAGCCGTTCGAGTTCGGCGACATCAAATATATTTGAGCGCAAGAGATACCGAACTCGGTCTGCCAGGTTTTGCTCTGTGACGGTTAAAGATGGCTCCAGCTCAGCAAAAAGACGATGCATCCTAGCCCAATACGCTTTCGCCCTAAAATATGCCCGCAATGCGTTAGTATTCATTTCGTATATTGTCCTCGCAACCACTGGCCCGCTGGACCCGCGAAGACCCTGCCGACACCAAGCCAGCTGGTGGGGATAATGGATGCGAGGGGCTGATGGGTGGTCGTGCAGCACCTTTCGCTCCGCTGGCGGTTCGCATGCTGTCGCGTCCAGCGCCAGCTCCTGACGCGCCCTGGCGACCTCCAGGCAGCGGCCCTTTGCGCGTTCTTCCGTATTCCATCATCCATAGTGGTGGGCGTCATTTAACGGGAGACGCCCAGAACCGGCGCCGTTTCATGGTGGGGCCATGTGCACAAGCGGGCCTTTGCACCTCCAATTTTTGCCGAGGCACGGTACTAACACCTCTTGGCAAGGTGCTGACTGACTGCGCTGATGTAGTGGTTTTGTCACATAACTGTTACGTCAGTGGGCGATGGGGTCGTCACTTCCCTACGCCGTTATTTTATTATTATTATTATTTAGATTTCAATTAAAAACTTAACTACATATGTATCTTTTTAAGAAAATAAATATATGACATCCTGGTTTCTTTTCGATTTGTGGCTTTTATTTCATATATTTTATGGTCGTTACACCTATAATTAATATGCAAAAGTAACTTATCTGCTTTTGTATACTTCCTTCTAAACATTTTTAAAAAAGTAGGTAGGTAGGTAGGAAGTAGTCATAAAAATTGCAAACACGCATGTAACGATATATTACCCATACTAATCGGTAGTGATTTAGTTGAGAAATTTATTAAATAAAATCTGAAAATTTTCAGTTGACTCTCCTGTAAAAATATTGGGTCCTTACATATGAAATTACCGTTATATCGTACTAATCACTTTGATCTGAAATATCTGCTCTTTGGCTAAGAATTCCAAATTCAAATTTATAAATTTATTTAGATGGTACATTTGAGTTTTGAAAACAGTCATTCATTTGTTATTTCTCATTATTTTTTCTATGGAGTCGCTTATTACCGCACAATGGAAAACATGAAATATCGGTATATTTACGAGTACGAGTTCTATAGTAGCACCAATGCTGCAGAAACAGCTCAAAGGATTAATGATGTTTACGGCGCTGGTATCGCAAAAGAAAGCACGGTACTTTTTTGGTTTCAAAGTTTTCGTTCTGGAAATTTCGACCTTCAGAACCAACCCCGTGGACGGCCGGAGACCAAAATGGAAAATGAAGAATTAAAGGCTATTGTGGAAGCAGATCCGTCACAAAGCACTTGCAGGAACATTTCTTTAATGTCTGCCATCACTGCCACGCTTCCTTCTCTGAATCGTAGCAGAACGCCAAATAATGACTTCAATAAGTCCGGTCCGGTTGATAATGCATCATTAAGACAACGTACGCCCGTCCTAGCGGCGGCGTCGAAAACTATTCTTATTTTCCTTTTTATTTTTTGCGGATGAGTCACTGCGAAGTGAGGGAAGATACCACGTGCGTGGGGAAATGGAAATATGATTCGCTTTCTCTGCGTAACCGTTAAAGATGAGATTTTCAATTTGCTTCTCATATTCTTTTTTTCAACTCGCTATTTTTATCGAGCTTCTTTTCGATATTAAACAGGCGACTTTCAACCTGCGCTCTATTCGACGGCATGCACTCATTATCTGTGAGCCATAACAAAGCAGTCTCGTACCTATTATTAGGTATACGACGTACCGTTTTGCTCAAAATATTTAAAGCTCGTTCTTCTGGGTCGTTCATGGGCTTTCGCGCAGACACTCCCAGAGATTTCAAACTAAAATAATCTTTGATCAACTTACCCATGTCCTCCTCCTTCTTGGTGGAAATGTGGTTAACAATCTTGATTGGTTTAATGCCACCCGAAATGTGACCATGTAAAACCCATCCAAGTTTAGTGAGCGATGGTACAGGTAGGTTCTTACCTCCTGAAATTAATTCACGAGTAACTATAAGTAATGAGATGCCAATTGTCCTGGCCAATTAATATGGTAGGTCCGGACCTCTCATAAATCAACTCGTCCTTAATCAGGGTCAAATGAGAACATCGTTGCAATAATTCTCGACTCACTGACTGCGGAGGAAGGTTAAGTGACTTAATTGTTTGTACACTTATCTCTTCTAAGTCGTTCGAGTAAATGCCTTTTATCTTAACGATTAAGCGATACGAACTGTCGTCGTTAATTCGCTTACCTCCCACGGCTTCAATACGTAATTCTTCTTTACGTCCGCGAGGCGCTAACTTCTGAGCCATCCACTCCTCTATGAGTGTCATGGTTGATCCTTCGTCCAGAAGAGCTGTGGTCTTGACTTTTCCTTTAGGTCCATACAACTCGACCGTTATAATCTTTAAGTATGCACAGGCCAGTGCATTCACTGTACTAATGGTTGTAATTTGAATTTCTCGCGATTATTCATGTCCTTAAACTTGTAACAACTCACTATAGAGTGCTCCTTGTTACACATAACACACTTATGTGTTACCTTACTTACAAGCTTATCCTGGGTTATCATAACCACTTGTCGGTTATGCCCTTTATTATTTCGGCGTTCTCGACGCTCGCTCGTATTACTTCGGCGCTCATAACGCTCGCTCTTGAAACGGTTGCGTACAGACCCCTTTGCGGTGTGTACAGTTTGCTTCCTGAATTCAGGACGCCTCCGTTTTTCAGGCACATTTTCATTGCTTAAGGACGTTCCAAATTGTTCACTCAATAAATTTAAAAACTTGGCCATCTTCTGTAACTCTGGCTCCAAAGGATGCTGAGCTCGATATTCAAACCATTTAAATTTAATCGTAGTTCCAAGTTTCTCGACTATGCGGTTTACTAACTCCGGTGAGTATAAATACTGTGGTTGATTCAATGCTTGTATTGTGGCAACCACGTTCGTAATACGACTTGCAAAAGATCCTATATTCCGGCAATCTTCTGCCAATCTTGGCATACGTCTTACATTCTCGATTTCGGCTAAAATGAGCATCTCAAACCTACCGAATCTTCTTTCGAGAGCGTTCATTATTTCTTCAGGTTCACACAAAGTAAACAACAACGACTTAACCGCTTCCTTAGCGGTGCCCTTTAATGCCCTTCTAAGGCGTGCGACATTCTGCACCCCTGAAAATTGGCTTCTCGTGTCTTCAAACACCGTTTTGAAAACTATCCATTCACCCGGGTCTCCATCGAATACCGGTAATTCCTGGAGGAAATGAAGCTGGGAAGACTTATCTTTACCCGCTATCTTTATTGCACTCACAATCGCTTCGGTCAATTCTGACACCTCACTCGCGTGTGTTTTCTGTGCATTCCCTTGGTTGCGCTCGATCTCCGCCCCTTTGCGGCGTGATCCTTTACACGCTTCCTTATCAGTAATATCGGGTTGCGTTACACTAACCGGCGCGCTCATTATGGTCTGTTGAACCCAACTCCTTACGAAAGATTCCACCTGAGTATTCCGCTCTTCATCATCCTCACCCGAGTGATCTCCTTTTCATCTTGAACGTGCCAACTCCAATTGAGACTTGGCTAAGGCAGCAGATGCCTGTGCTCGTTCGAGCTCTGAGCGTTCGAATTTAATCCGCGCCTCTAATTCGGCTTTCAGCCTCGCCGATCGCGATGACCTACTACCTCTCTGTGACCCTTTGTCACTAGTGTGCCTGATTACTGTCCTTGACGATGCCGCTTCTTCGGTCCTTTGACCTACTTTTTCAAATACCGTTTCACTCCTGGATATAACGGATTATTGTGCGGTGCTGGCCTGTGTACCACTGGTGTCCGTCCTGTTGCTTGTCGTTGCCATGGACGCCCCTGAGTCCCACGTGCATGTGGACGTATCGGTGGTGGCTCCACTTGAAGGAGTTGTTCCACTCGAAGCAGTAGCTGTGGTCGCTCCAGATGGTTCCGCCTCTTTAGCTTTTCTTGAGGGCCCTGTCCTTGTCTTGGTTCCTTCGCTTCTCCCTGTCTGGTCTTGTGCCTTCTTCATCTTGCAGGAAGGTAATTGTTGGCCTACAGTCCCTAACTGTCCCTACAGTCCCTACAACCCCTTACCTACAACCCTTCTACACCCCAACCTAACCCCACTACCCCGCCCCCCTGTATGACCCAACCCTACAACCTTACTACCACCCTAACAGCCCTATCAGCCCTATCAATCCTGAACGGGGCCTACCGAGGTGAGCCGTCCAGGGATGGAGTCGTGCAGGAATGGAATGGAGGAAAGGTTTAGGAACTGTCCCGCCAAGGAATATTACGAAACAGTCGAGCGGTAGTGCAAGCGCAGTCTCGCTCGAGAGAACTGCTCCACCCGAAGGTATTGTGCCAGAGCTCGACCGTTTGGCACCGTTAGGTGGTCGGGATGTATGCTGCGCTTCGTCGCCCAGTCGCCAGTGACGCCTCGTCCAGGCACCCTCTTCCGGCTGCGATGCAGTCAAGTGCCCACGAGCACCCTCGCCTGGCAGCAGCAGCGGTGGATGCTTCTTCTTCTTGCACCCTCTGATGACCCGACAGGAAATGCCGGACACGGTCGTCCGACAGGAAATGCCGGACACGATCGTCCGACAGGAAAATGTCGAGCACGCTTACCCGACAGGAAAAATGCCAAGCCCTGCTTGGCCACGATGAGCGCCTTCACAAGGCACCTGCGCCCGGCTGCGATACGTGCCCCATGCGAGCACACGCCCCAAGCCGCAATCCCGATTTTCTTTCTTCTGGTAGTTCCAGGTCCGGTCCTACTGCGCTGACCTGGTCTTCTGGCCTTTGGTCCTGTTGCTTCAGCTCAAACCTCCGGCTTCCTTCGGTTGCTAATCTTCACTCGGCTCCGAAGGTCTGCTTTTTCCATAACCAGCAGTCCACAGCTGGTTCCTTGATCCGGCTCGAAGGACCACTTGAAAAGGAACCAGACAAACGTTAAACTAAGAAACAGAAGGGAGGAATCGAGGCTTCTCTCGATCCGGCCTCCTACAACGCCTACGTTGGGTTCGGGAACAACGTATGTGATCTCCGCAACGGAGTAACACACAAGGGCGATAACCTCTTCCT